ATATGTATACAAATAGAATCTACCCTGAATTAATCAAATTTGATTCGATTTGAAACGACTTTAAAACAACAATCGACATTGTACGCCCTTCATTTGTTATATTTGTCGTTTTGAAATATATAACGATGTGTTCAAGGTCCTATCCCAACACGAATTGCTGTGTCAGTCTCGGGGTGGACTGCGGGGCGCAGTGGAGAGCTGGAGCACAGGCGCGCCGGCCCGTAATAACAATTAGTTATGTAAAACAGAAAATAATGTAATTTTTACCATTTTTTTCTGAAATGGATTATGGCTTGCGATAAAATATATCGTGTAAATTTTAAAATCATGTTCTATATACATTTTCGGCATAAAATGAATTATTCAAAGTGTCAAAAATTGGCTGTGTTTGGATTTTTTTTCTATCAAAAGTTATTTAAATCGTGTATCGATCTTTCAAAATGGATACATAAAGTACTCAACTCCACCATATATTTTTTCCATTCGCCCTACTTCAAGAAACGATGACAAAAAATGGAAAGAAACAATGTATCTTTTTTGGAGTTTGGCGACCAGATAGGTCCTTAATAAGTATTTTTTAACAGACAGATTTGACAGAGAGATGACTCAATGTTTCGAATATTACGTTACTATATTTAACGTCTCGTAGACGAAATACACGAAAAAATCAATGTCAAGTTTGCCATCCATTAAATGGGCTAGCCAAGCCACTTTAATATTGTAATGAAATTGCTAAATGATGCATGAACTGAAGTCAGCCTGAAAGTTGGAGTGGCACAGCGATCGATCAAGGACTTATCTTAAAAGCAATTAGTTTTTGTCTCAATTTAAACTATAATAAATTTACAAAAAGTTACAGAAATTGCATACAGATTTTTTATGTGATATTATGCTACTTATGTAAGCGTACCTACCTTTGATATAAACTAAATCAGCCTCATTGCACTCTCTTATCTCCTCTTTCGTCTCTTTCTGTCAAACTGAGTTTAATAAACAGAGATAGATTAGTACTTTGTATAAATCTCAATAAGACACATTATTTTTTTAACAATAATAGGGTTGTACCGCGGCTGTTTTTTTATCCCAAATACTAGTAGTAGTTCCTGCGATTAGTAGATTTCTTGAAAAAAGAACCTCTGTCGTGCATGTCTACTGGATGCATCGTGACTACTGTTTTGCTTATGGAACATTAGAGGTCGCTGAATATATCTTATATTTTATTTCCCAACCAATTAGATTAAGGCTCCTTCAAGAAAAGAGCGTACCAATTCTTAAAAGGCCGCAACGCACTCGCGAGCCCCCTGACAATGTGAGTGTCATGGGCGGCGTTATCACTTAACATCAGATATCCTATATAAATTCTGGTTCTTGATTTCACGTCTTAATTTGTTAATAAATACAATAATACATTAGCTAAAGATAAATAATCATCCGACTTAAGTTCGATTCCTGTATTGTTTTGGTTGGTAAAGAGGCTAAAGTTAACTGACCCCTTTAAAACGTATGATCAATGAGAAGAATTTCGTCTGCTGCTGCCATCTATTTAGTTGTTACGGGACTACAAACACCTTCCAACAGTAAACATTTCTAGTTCATCGACTTATGAGCATAACATGTTTAGGATGTGGCAAATGATACTCCATTGTATTTACTTGGTTTATAATATGTAATAAGGCAAAAAGAGAAAGAAAAGTGTAATATAAGATCACTTGATAATAAAGATCCGCTTTTTCTTCTTCATTTATCAGTAAAGATGCTGCTCTTTCTCCGACCTAAAGAAAGCATCATCGACAAATCTAACCGGGGTTGATATAACGCTAACTCGTTGGAAAAGTTGCGCGCTTAGTTCGCTTTGCCTCATAAAGCAGCTTTGAGCTACCAAAGAAAGTCTAGAATAGGCCTACAAATGATCTCTGGTAAAAGATGTAAGACCAGTAACGCTAAAGGATTAACATTTCTACAAGAAAATAGTGGTTATTAAAAAAAAAAACAATTATTTTAATATTTTTATTTTAAAAAAGTCACCTGCCAGCGTTCAACCTACAATACATCAATTTAATTAGATAAGTTACGCTCACTTTTATATAGACATCACAGGTAAAATATAGACACAAAATATATTTACTAAAATTATGTTAAGACAGCTATTTACAATTTTAATGCCTAGAAATTTATTTGTGTATTTTAATTCTATTATAAATATTTATCTTTAGTTTTTGTTTTGTTATTTATAAAGAAATTAACAAAAGTGAAAACAATTAAAATAATTGAAATAGGAACATTTTCAGCGACAATTATTAGCGTTTCGAAAGAAAAAAATTGTGAAGATTCATAATAGTTTTTACTTTTGCGCTCCGGATTTGACAGAAGTTCCACATTCCACCAATTTTGAACATGGAACCCGGGTATAGACAATAATGACACTAAATAAAATTATATAAAAAAAAATACCTTCACCTTATGAATGACAATTTGCGCCATCTAGTTATATAGTACCGAACTAACGCATAGGTCTTGGCATTTTCATGATAGTTTTTAATATATATATAATTTCTATAATTTATAATAATTATACGTAATTATAATACTTGGCGCCGTTAGTGGTATTTCAATATTACATTAACTATTGATTGTATTTACATAGAATGATATAGCAAATTATATTTTTTAATAAATAAATACATAAAAATACTGTATAAAAAATTTCATATAAAATTTGAATTTAATACTGAACAGTTTCACGGATTGAGCAAGAAAATAGATTTACAAAAGCGATATTACCTAAAGATAGTACACCTAATTAAATCATTTTTGTGAACAAACGCTTGACGCGTTTAGCAATTAAGATAATTATGTTAATTTATTTGTGTGTTATATGTTAGAATTATGTTAATTCGTATAACTGCCGTACTTGTTCTTTGTCCATTCAGAGTTTAACTATGGAAGGCGCCGTAGTATAGGTAGTTCCGATTAAAAGAATAAAGTCAAAGTGATACATGTTCCAACAAAAAATGATCTTCCAACCTTAATTATTTATACCGTGTATGACACTTAATAAAAAAATAAAATTCTAATCTTTATTCACCCGCTTGTGTATGAAGTAGCCCGCCATTAAGATGGAAAAGTTTGAGAATTTGGCAATTTATTTTTGAGTTCCTAAAATTACTTTTAAATGTATCGTATGACAGTTTTACGAAATTTTTAGGGTCTGTTTCACAATGTATGAATAAAGTACCAAATAGCTATGCAACACATAAATTATTTGGAAGATAAATTGTGTTATTTGACACTTCATCGGACTCATAACTTATGATAGACTTTTTGTGACGAAAAGCGTTATCTGTCAGTCGTGAAACGCAACAATAGTGTTTATCCTACCAATAAGTAATAAATAGCTAATTTGGAACTTATGTAGAACTTATCCGTACATTGTGAAACAGACCCTTAATGTAATATATATTATAATTTTGAATATTTATGTTAGTCAAAATTATTGTGTTTACCAATATCTTATAACAAAATGGGACTCATTTTATAAACTGAAACCTATTTCGTTTACATTTACGCCAAATATTTGCAGTCAAGTTTGTTTTTAAACGATTATTGTACTTGCAATTGTGCGTCGTTACATTTTCTATGAAAATCCTTAAGGGTGCGTCCACATCTGGCGAATATGCCGCGAATGTGCAGCTCACGCGTGCATTTTTGTTCGTGCGCCGCTCCTGCGCCGCCCGCGCGTAGTTCGCTCGCAACCAACGCGTACGCGACCAGCGCGCGGGCGGTGCGCTAGTACTGACTACTGAGTTAGTAAACGGAATGGAACGCGGGAACTGCGCGCGCCTTTTATGAGCCTTGCATAAGTTGCGCTAAAGAGGCGCACCAAACCATTGCTGTGACTGCACGCGTGCTCGCAAACTGTTCGCGAGCTGCACATTCGCGGCGCATTCGCCAGATGTGGACGCACCCTAACACTGTCCCGTCACAATAATAAACATGACAAACCTTTTTGTGTACTTATGAAAAACGAAACATGAAAAATAATAGTAATCTGTAATCTTTGCACACATTTTAAATAAAATATATACGTATACTTATGCTAAGTTCACAACAGAGTAGGAAAATTTACACTAACATGAATATGACTACAATTTATTACAAACAATAAATTTTGTACATTTGGGTCTAGGTCTGATGCTTTGTTGAAGATTTCTTATTTATTTTGTTTAATACGTAAGGTCAAGGATCATGAATTTGTGGGGCTATTACGGGGACGTATTAAGGGTATTCCCCGTTCCATTCGATAGACGAGCATCGTGGGTTGATTGGTACAAGTAGCGGCACGAAACTCTAGCGCTGACCGTTATTGCGCAGAAGTAAAAAATAAGGTACCTGAGGGGGGCTAGCGGAATGAAGAGCGTCGATTGGCTCTCCAGTCGCATTCCGTCCCCCGCACCGATACGACACATGCGCAGCAATCCCCTCCATGTATCGGCCAGCGCTAGACTTACGTGCCGCTGCCTCCATCATGGAATCCAACCTTATTTTTTAACATTTCAGATAATTTTTTAAATTTAAAATATCGCCTATTGTTTTCAGTGACCGATGGACCCTTTGTATCTTTGGGGCCCTGGGCTGAAGCCTAAAAAGCCGCCGTTCAAAATTCTATAGAATTTACTAATAGTTGACGCCTGATTAGTTTTTAATATTTTAGTATGGCTACATAAAAATATCTGTATCCTAAATATTCCATATCTCACTTAAAAGATGTCCCGATACACAAAACTTCTATTTAATTAAAGAAAAACGAGTAATTGGTGTGCATATTCTTAATCGTGTATCTTCTATGATACTTATTGCATTTCAAAAGTAAATTAAATAATGTTCAGTTGTCAATTTTAATCTCTGCATTGTCGCAGATATTCCGAGTATCTTTATACAGTGGAAAAATAACAATCTGTGGTCAATGATTTCTTCAACAAAGCATCCACAGTTGATATGGTTTACGCGGGGCATGTCCGTGATAAAATCTCTTTTTCTGCGGAGACTCGCTGCATCAGTTCCTCAGCCCAGCGATGAGCTGTTCGGTCTACTGTTGAAGGGACTGTTAGGCATTGCATGCCTCCGTACTCACAGGCGATCTGAAAAAGTTTTAATTTTTTTAAACAATAAAGGTACAATCCCTTATTTATATTTAATAACCAAGCCTTATTGCATTCTTTTGGCTAAAGTACTCATCTGTCTCTTTTCATCGCAGCGTAAACGCGATTTGACAGAAAGAGACGAAATAGTACTCTAGTTAATTTAAGATTTAAAATTTCTTTCAGATGTAATCTTTTAATATATGTTAAATTTGGTCATTTAAAAAATAAAATAAATCAGTGGCGCTACAACCTCTTTAGGTCTGGGCCTCAGATTTCTGAATTTGTTTCATGATCATTTTTGAATGTAACAGGCAAGTAGCCTTGACATGTCGGTTTCCTCACAATGTTTTCCTTCACCGTTCGAGCGAATGTTAAATGCGCACATAGAAAGAAAGAACATTGGTGCACAGCCGGGGATCAAACCTACGACCTCAGGGATGAGTTGCACGCTGAAGCCACTAGACCAAAACTGCTCTAAATTCGGTTATTTGCACCGTAATACTCACTCTGTAGTGATGCAACAATGCCCTTTCAGATGGGACGCCCACGGAACTGGCACCAGGAGCAAGTTCCCATAGAAAATGGTTCCCCAGTTCAACTGCGTCATGAGGTCGTAACGCGTACTTGCTCCGATTCTTGAGCGCGTGTGGCGCTGCCCAGCGACGTGTTTTGCGAGATGTCACTAATGGCGCGGGAGCTTCCACGTCGTCCTGAAATTAAGACATTTGTTATAAGGAAATTTGATTTCGATGAATGATTATTTTTATTGTCAATCTCAAATACTCCGCTGTATGTATTAAGATAAGTCAGCGATTAACATAAAGCATTGAACACCAACCCTAAAAACCTTGGTTTATATCGAAAAAAACTATTGGAGCATAAATGATATTCTTTTTAAAATATGCTCGTAATCCGTACGCAGCATAAAGTTCATATTAATATAGTTAAAGTTCAACACTTTCTTAGTACCCTGTAGGCTGTAATCGTCTACACTTGATGCTTGACTATCGCGAATTAATCCTTAATTATTAACGCTTGCTTTCTAGTACCAAGATACTAGTCGTAATTGCTACAAGCCGTATATTTTTCTGTGGAGAGCGCATTTGGTCTTTATGTTTTTTTTTTAAATACATTTCTCATAGTTGTAGTAGTTCATAGATATTTATGTTTCGTATTTTAGTGTAGGCCGAACGATTTCTTAAAGATCTAAAGTTACACACTCATACAGAACTTCTCACAACATCTTCCCTTCCTGTGGCTCTAGAGTTACTAGAAATATTTTTTTACGCCCTGAATGCCTGATAATATATTATATACCTATAATACTTTCTTAAAAATTTAAGAAATAAGCTTTACCTAATTTAAATCTTTTTAGTACTTATTTTAGTTTTTGTTTACATTAATGTGTATACAATACTTGTGTAAAAATTCTTACCATAGCTCATTAGCATAATTCTCAGTAAAATAAAGAATAAGGTACATGTAATGAGAAGAATAATAAGAATTCTGTAAATCCGATAAAATGTAAGGCAATACTAAATTACCTCCCATCGTAGATAGAAGAACGCGTTCCTAAAGAGGAACGCAGAGGGCGCCTTTGAGGGAGGGTTGTACGCGGCTCGAAGAGCTGTTAGGAGGGCTACAAGAGTCCTTTCCCTTCGAGGCAATATCACTTCATCAACATCAATCACTAACAGCCACCCTGCTGATGACATTGACCGGTAGAGACAATCGTTGAATGCGGCGAACTGCCCTTCCGTCCTGGAATTTATTAAACCTTCTTAATATCAATCAATCTACAAGAAATGCATTGAAGCAAAAGTGAACATTAAAATAATGTTACTTAAGTTTTTAAGTAAGGCTTATAGTGGATATATAGATTTCTGCAAGTACAGTTCAAAGATACTTTATTTCTCAAAGAATTACATTCACTTAGCGAGAAAATTTAGGGTAAGTTAGTTATGTACATCGTGTTATGAAATGATTTAAAATAAACTATTATATTATATTATAAAATAAATATATTAGTTTCTAACATATAATAATATAATAAATTCTAGATTTTTTATCTTTTGTAAATACATATTTATTCCATTAATTTATATTGAACTTTTACGATTGTAAAGGTGCGCTTACACGAGGGCAATAATTGCTCGGCGACACGAATGGACCGATCTGGAGCAATTAATGGAGCAATTTCAATAAATTCAATAAATTTCAATAATTTATTTCGGCGATATTGCTTCTAATTGCTCCAGATATTTCATATCGCTCAATGTCGCAGATACGAATTGACGAATATCCGATGGACTTTGAAATTCCTAGCAATTTTTGTATATATCTCATTCGCACTTGTTTGTTTTGCGGCTTGCCGTCTTGCTTCCGCGGGGAGAGCGAGGGGTCTAAATAATAATAATTTCTAATTACTTTATTCAAAAGTAATTCAAAGTCTGTTCGTGACATTCTAGTAAAGTTTTTGAATAATATATCATCTAATTCTTTACACAATGAAAATTGCGGCCAAAAACGATCGCACCCAGATACGCCTATTCCTTTTCTTTCTTTTTTGTTTTTGATTAATAATAAAAAAAGCGCTACAAGCCGCCGCAGCAAGAACAATGTCGTCCATAGCGAGCGAAAACTGAAATGCTCGTGTATGACAGTATTGCCTAGTTGATGAAGTTGCGCCATATCGCTCAATATTGTATTGCGCAGTATTGATGCTTGTTGCCGTTGCCGTAACTTGCTTGATGTAGTCGTGACGTCATAATTGACGAGTATTGACTGGAATTGAGCAATTTTAGTTGCCCGTGTAAGCGCACCTTTACAGAGATAGGTATAGATATTCTATATATGTGTGTTTTTATTTTTGTTGTTTTATAGGTATGTTGTTAATTATATGTACTTTTAAAAGTTTTTAAATTTGTAAAAAGGTTTTATTTCTTTTTAACTGGATGGCAATGTATTAAATATTTGTTCGTTTAGAACAACATACCGGTTATATTGACCAAAATCAAAGGTCCTGGCTGAATTCTATTGTATTACGTACTTAATAACAACGTCATCGGCTGTTATGACTATCGGTTTTAACACTGCTTAAATATTAGGGTGCGTCCACATCTAGCGAATATGCCGCGAATGTGCAGCTCACGACCAGTTTGCGAGCTGCGCGCGTGCATTTTTGTTCGTGCGCCGCTCCTGCGCCACCAGCGCGCAGTTCGCTCGCAACCTAAGCGCCCTACGCGATCAGGGCGCGGCTCGCGTCTTCCTTCCGCCCACGCCAGCTGTAAGCGCGAGAATTGAGAGGGCGCACGACTTATACGAGCCTTGTATGAGTTGCGCTAAAGAGGCGCACCAAACCATTGCACTCGCGCAGCTCGCAAACGGCTCGCGAGCTGCACATTCGCCAGATGTGGACGCACCCTTAAAGTGTTGAATGAAATGAGAAATTCAAACTACGTACCTGATTTCAATTTTGGAAACAATAGGCAGTTTCCATGGCAACAGAGTAACCAATCCTTGTTTTCTATAATGCTCGAGTAGGCAAGCGACTGGTGCGCTCAACGACTCGTTGTACATATAAAAGTGACTCGCACCAAGTAGCCTGTTCAACTCAAACCATTCCATGAGCCATTCGTCCCGCGAGTATGAAAAGTGGAATGGTTTAACGCATACGTGTAGTGTCTCCTGGAAAAAGAAAAAAATATATTCGATAAAAGTATTTTGTCGGCCGTACTACACCTGTAGCTTTATCGTATATTTAAACACGTATTTGCGTGTTTTTCTTTATAGAAAAAATGTTGTTTTGTATATTATTTTCGTCTAACATAAACTTATTATACGCTTTTTGTATGTAGTGGTTAAATCAATATTCATTAAAACAAATTTATATATATATTATAGTAAATATATTAATAATAATTACTACATAGTATAAAAAACAGCAGTAAAGTAGATTCTTTGATAACGCAGATAAAAATCGTTTAGTTTTATGGCTGACAAAGGACGGAAATTTAAAAACCGTAATTAAAACTGTCAGAATAAATTGGGGTAATTAATTTGGGCTGTCACGTACTTTAGGGTTACCGAAATATTTTTTTTATATTTATACCTCTATTATAGAGGCATACAAAGCTCGTGTGCTGATATTCAAAATGCCTTCAGACTTGCTTCAAAAATCACCAAACTTACAAAATATGGACCAATTCGACTAAGGGTCCTTCAGGAAAATAGAGAGTACCCATTCTTTAAAGGACACGCAATGTAAGTGTCCATGGGTAGCGGTATCACGTAACATCAGATGAGCCTGCCTGTTTGCCCCGTTATATAAAAAATGCTTGCTTCATGCCCTAAGAAAACTATGGCAGTTAATAGACTGTGTTCATTGCAGATTCAACTTTGGTTAACGTTTGGTTATTTAAAGACTTCAATGCGAAGCTTCCAGGTTCTATATAGCCATACACGAATTGAATATACATAAAATTACTTGAAAAATATTATACGGCAATTTATAAGCTAGTTAACTACATGTATATGTTTCTACGGTAGGTATGTTCATGTAATGTCCACTCCTTATATGGAAATTGTATTCGTTTTTACAACAAACTCCCAAGCGAAATTAGAGAATTATCACTAAATAAATTCAAAGCCCTCGTTAAACGGCAATTATCAATAAAGCGTTTTATAAATTTGAGGAATACTTAAATGATCCTAATCGTTGGGGTTGATTTGCTCCAGTTCAAACAATTTGTATGACAATACTTGGCGATTAAAAAGAGTGGCGGAAAGTTTCTTGCCAGTTCTTCTTACCCGCTCTACGCCCTTGACTTGCGAACTGGTAGTAAATGTAAATTTACAATTAATTTAACTTGACAATTCAAAAGTGTACTTGGTTACCCACTTGAATAAAGATATTTTGAGTTTGAGTTTGAGTTTAATCAATCTAAAAATAGATACATATATTTACATATATACCGATTAATAGATAGGGGCGAGTTAATAATAATGACCTAAAACCTTAGCTGCATATTCGTTATTATAATTTAGAGATTACGATGACCAAATTAACGTATCAGAAACATGATTCGCAAGCCTTCTGGAATTTTATGTCTGCATAAAATGTAGTTTAAGCCTTAAACCTTAAACTTTAAGGTACTATAATAAGTTAGCAGTATTACAATTAATGTTTGGCATTATCGTACGTCAAATCAAATACTTTTTTGGCACAATACACGTATAGAGCAAGAGCCTACGACGGCCAGACCTTCGTTATTTAATAAAAGCTGAAAGTTCTTCTGTGCGTGTCCCCTATACAGTTGAGAACGACCAGGGACTATAGAATTTGGATAGTGGTTACTTGGGCAGGTAACAGGTAGTAAAGGTGTATAAAATAGTACCTAAAATTCGTTAAAGTATAAAACTCAATTTTTTTATCCATTGCCAGACACTTATGACAGTTGCTATCCCATTAAAGTTTAGGGGTGTCTGGCTTCTATAGTCCCTGGTCGTTCTTACCTGTACAGGAGACACGCATAGAAGTACTTTCAGCTTTTATTAAATAACGAAGGACTGGCCGTCGTGGGCTCTTAGGCTAGTAGACTTAAATCTTAGCGATCTTCATATAGATAGCAATGTTTTATGAATTTTTTTGCGGTGCAAACGCGCCTATGGGACGCCCATAAACGGCATTCATCGCAGTACATGGATACCCATTCTTAGTGGGCGTGTAGCCAGCCTTTGAGGGAGGAGTACACTGACTTCGAAGGTCGTATCTATTAGGGAAGATATCCACCGGGAGTCGATTCCATAGTTCGTAATCCTAAACACAGTATAAATACTACTATAAAACATAGTCACCTCAATCCCGCTCTTAGGCTCCGTGTCAAGTACAGTTAGAAGGTTGGTAGGAGCTCTGTTAGGAGATACGGCAGCTGCTATTGATATAGACGCGCCAACTGTTTCGTGCGGCTTCACTCCTGTATCGCGAAGAAGACAGAGCACATACGTGGCGCTGTATTTCAGGTTCCAATTTTCTCGGATCGGCTGAAAAGACATTTCGAGAATTGGTATAACGAGCTACTAACTGATTTCGAGACAAACCCTGGATATGAGCCAATTATCTCCGAAAGATTTTTCAATGCACTATTGCTATTTTCTCGTACGGGGAGGATTTCGTGAGGAAATAATAAAAATAAACAGTTTATTTAGTGACAGTGTTGGCCTAGTGGCTTCAGGTCGTAGGTTCGATCCCCGGCTGTGCACCAATGGACTTTCTTTCTATGTGTGCATTTAACATTTGCTTAAACGGTGAAGGAAAAGATCGTGAGGAAACCGACATGTCTTAGACCCAAAATCGACAGCGTGTGTCAGGCACTGGAGGCTCATCACCTACTTGCCTATTCGAATTAAAAATGATCATGAATCAGATTCAGTAATCTGAGGCCAAGACCTAAAAAGGTTTTAGCGCCACTGATTATTATTATTTAGTGAGAAGTGAAAAAGGGAAATGGTTATAAATGAGCGGTTATATTACTAAGAGTAGTTTCTTCCAGTCCAGCAGAAACCGGCACTATTTAAAAGACCGTAGTCTTGTGACATCCACCAACACACACTTGGGCCGCGAGGTGAATTATGGTCCTTTCGATTAAAGTTGTTGCAGAAGTTCTTACAAATGCCTTTAATTATACGAATACCCTACTTGGTCTGGATCTAGTAGAACAAGGTTTCTGGACCCAATCCAGGATAAACTTGACACGCAGTAGGTCAAGAGCACTCGTTGTGTAACTTGTATATGAAGTTTTGTGAGAAGGTATGTATCAAATAAAGTCAAAAGTTTAATTTGTCAAGATTTTTTTTAATTATACATTTAACATACTGTTAATACATGTTGTCATTGTACAAGGTTAAGATTTTGTGTTATATTGCTAAATAAGTATTTTTTTAGCAGCAGCACCGGTGTCGGAAATATTGTCGCACTGGCGTCGGCAATATTGTCGGGAATGTAGTAAGCTTGTAAAGGTGTGTATTTAGTTTAAAATACATATAAGATTAGAAGGATAAAGGGCGATAATGTTGGCGCTTATGTTGTGCTTCTAAGCCGGCGTTTATGATGACGCCTGGCTTACAGACTGCCCTTATGGATTAGTGACAATTTGTCGAAGCTCCACGGTATGTAAAATATAGTAGTAATGTGATAGTGGGCCTTTATTTTATTTATTTATATAATCACGCATTTTTCCCGAAGGGTCACACAATTTCTACGGTCGTCACGTCACGTCACGTCTCGCGGTCATCCACATTCTTAACATTGACCATGGATACTCGTGGGTTACTGAGCGTTCAAGTATTACGTAACGAATTTGGGGGGGAGGTCCTTTTGTAAAACGTTACGATACGGGGCGGGGATTGAATTACGCGTTATTGTTAATATTATTTTCGACTTTCCAGTACTTTACACTACATAATGGTAACTTTTAGGTATAAAGAGTCACTAGGTGGTCACGAAACGTTTTACTATAGTTGGGTACAGAAAAACGTTACGGCAAGTTACATGGGGGGAGGTCAATAATCTCCAAAAATTGCGTGACGTTATACTTGAACGCTCCCTTATGAGTACTTTTGACCTGTCATCTGGGTCCTCTATACCACGATAACTAACGTATAAAGTAACGTATAACTAAAAAGAATATAATACGTATAAAACAATTGACAATTTTCTACGTATAAAGATAAAACACGCATAAAAATCTCTGTAAAATACCGCATACAAGAAACACGTGCGAACCAACAAACTGTCTATATTTATGTTAGTAAAATGAATGCAGGAAAAGTCAACCCAGGAAAAAACATTATGGAAAAACCGGGAAATATGTACATACCTTGACTCTAGCTTTGAGCGTAAATGTGCGGTTGTCTGACAGCCACATTCGACAAACAACAGGATCAGCGCCGCGCGTTTTCGTAGCAGCAATGACACGGACAGCAGGAACAGTTCGACGCTCCACGTAGGCGGAGTAAACGTAGAATCTAAACCTGAAATTATTAAAGTCTAAGTAAAAATAAAAAAATAAATCAATGGCGCTACAACCTTTTTAGGTCTGGGCCTCAGATTTCTGTATCTGATTCATGATCATTTTTTAATCTAATAGGCAAGTAGGTGATCGGCCTTCTATGCCTGACGCACGCCCTCGACTTTTTGGGTCTAAGGCAAGCCGGTTTCCTCGCGAATGTTAATTGCGCATATAGAAAGAAAATCCATTGGTGCACAGCCGGGGATCGAACCTACGACCTCAGGGATGAGAGTCGCACGTTGAAGCCACTAGGCCAACACTGCTCGAAGTAAAAATAAATGTCCAAATAAAATACACACTAATATTATAAAGTGGAAATATTTTATTGTCGTTTGATTTGAATAGGCTCCAAAAGTACTGGACCTATTTGAATTCTTTAGAAACAAGTGATGTACTACAGTTTTACAGAAGACATCTACAACACGTCATAAACCCACGACCCCATATGTGCGTATAAACTAAATCGTGCGTGTTGGTAATTAAAGTCCTCCTAAACGGCTGGACCGATTTTTATGAAGTTTTTTGTATGTACAGTACCTACACAAATAAATAACCTGCCGTTAGAAGCCATGACTGAACTGATACCATACCTATAAAATGTAATGCAGATAATGTTTTAATCAACATAAAATAAATCTTACGTTTATTTAATGAAAACTTGAAGATTTAGCGCCTTCGCTTTCTTTCTGAGTTTTTATTAAAATCCTTAATAAATTAATAATTTCATATTTTATTAAGCTTGATACTATACTACCTAATGACTACGTTAGCCTTTCTCATAACCGTATATTATCTACTTTAGTAACAATAAAATAACAGTGCCCTGGTGAATTGAATTAGTCACGGCAGGGCACGTCTAAGGCTAGACCTAAATTTAATTAATAATAGAAATAATTAATGGGGTTCTGGCGTCCGCCATTCGGTGCACATGTTCCAACCACCAGCCTGTTGCATTTTATGAATTATACGATTTGAGCGTCGTCAAGGATGTTATAAAGTTCGTTGAAGCGTATACGCCAAACACCGTCTTCGGAAATAGGGCTTAAAATTATTTGAAGAATCTTCCGCTCGAAAATAAGGAGAGCAAGCTCGTCCTTCTTCCTACGGGCCCGGTAACTCGGCACAAAGATAAAAGCACTATAATCATATGTATAAATTGTATAAATGTATATATATAACATCATGTATTGGAGAATCACAGATATCTAAATTGTATAACGTTACGAAAAATATAAGCTGTATCGGGTTAGTATGAAGCTACTAAAAAGCTAGGCTAAGTAAAAAAACATAATAAGACGAAACAAATTTCGCGGGGGGCAAGTATTTAAATAAATTTGTTATAGTTAATTTATATTTAAAGAAAAATGCATTGGTTGCCGTAATATCGGCTACTACTTGCCATTTGGTGTATATTTGATGGAATAAATGTAATATGAAATAGTAAATAAGCACGTAATTGAATTTCCCTCATGGGGTTTCAGTATAATTAGTACGCTCTGAAGTTTCATTACTACCAACAGTATTGCATCTGCATTTGTATCTCTGATTTCTTTTAGAGTCTTGATATTTACGTCCTCCAAAATTATACATAATATGCATGTCACACATACCGGTTTTCATATTCAAAACACCACTCGTAATTAATTGATTTGTCTAAAACAGATTTATTCTATTTGACCTTTCGTCTAAAATAAATAATAGTTTAAAAAAACTAAAAAACACGCTTTTAAAGCACATCAAACTAAAAAGTGAAAAATAATTCCTAATTTAGGCTGAAAATGGTAATGAACAAAAAATACTGGTATTATTGTGAAAAAGCGTGGGTTGCTCGATAGACAAAAAATATGGCACAGAGCGCCAAACTATTATTTATTTTTTATTTTTTAGTTAAATTTTTTTCGGATTATTGCATTGTCATCGATCTTTGACAGGTGCGCAAAGTTTGAATTAAATCTGTCCGTTAAAAGTGGGTCAAAATCGAGTCCGAAGGAGTCGGTTACATACATACAGGTGAAGCTAAAATAAAGCGTGTAAAAACACCCATAACTTTTAGTAATAATCAATGGTATTTAGGAATTTGGAATCGGAAGTAAGTCGCTTCATGACTTAGTTACTAAACAATGGCATGAATCAAAGGATTTATTGTAGTTTTTAATTTAAAATCTAACCGAATATACTGCAAGGTCACTGACAAATATATTAAAAACTGTGTGAAGAATAAAAATTAATAAAACAGTATTAATTTAATATATTTTTATATTACACATTCATTTGCATTTTTTTTAAATAAATTTACGTTGTCAATCATTTGCAATAAATCATCGACATAGGTCATCGTCAGATCATTTTACGCTCCAACTATTTTCCATTAGATGACGTCAAAGCGACGGGAAATGGAAAATACGCCATCAAATGATAGGAAACTTGGAGGAAATTGTTGTTTTCAACTGAAAATGAACTTCTAAGCATAAGAAAAACATAAACGAAACTTTTCCGACGTCAGCATTTCCTAATATCCGAGTTCCATTGTTGCTTGTTGGATTCTTTCATTCAGGTCGAGAACACTTGGGTTATAATGAGACTACTGACGAATATTAAACGCGGAAAAAGACGCTTTATAGAGCTCGTTAATTCGGATGCAATTCATTCATTGGCAACAACTCAATTTCAGCACAAAAACTAAGGAATGGGATCTCTATACAAATATTATAAACTAAACGGCCATATAATACGAATGAATTAGTACCACTTTTTGTTACCATGGTTACGATGTATAAAAAGGTAGATCCCCTAAGAGAAGTTTCAGTCAAGTCTCCTAATTACACCCGTCAGTCAACTCCTTGCTAAGCTCGGCTCGTTTTATAAGGTTAAAAAAATTGTTCGGGTGCGCTAATCTCTCAACACAAAATATATGTAATAAACCGGGTTTAGTTTTCATATAAAACTCATCATCTTATGTCTATTTTATGTTATCTTGCCAACGTTTGGCAAACTTATACATCGATTACGAAGATTATAATAAAATGTGTTGCTTAAATGTCCCAGGTACTTACAGGAAAACATAACATTAAAATAAATATAAAATCTTAAACAAGAAAATAATTTAAAAATATAATGATGAGGGGCAACCTTGAATAACTTATCTCCTCTGTATATGTTTCGGATAAGTAACGTCGTCTTTATATATATAATTCTAGTGTAGGTGTGTAAGTGTATGTCACTGAACTCCTCATAAACGGCTGGACCGATTTGAATAAAAAAATTTGTATGCGTTTGGGTGGCGCCCTGAATGGTTTAGATTCACAAATCAACCCGACAGATGGCGCTGCAGTCGGTACTTTCATACTTTGTTTAATATCCTAATCACTTGAAATATCATGCAGGACAACGTCTGGTGGGTCCGCTAGTTTAAGAAGAGAAGAAGGTACTGGATTTAATTGAAATACTTTATTTTATATAAATCATTTATCAAAGAAGCTATTAGCTATGCTGTGGAACATTCTGCTCCTCAGCAAAATGCTGAGCCAGGGCAAATTACAGCCACAGCACACACGCATTACACACTTGGAACGAACCAAATGGGAAAAGGTTTTTTTTATTGTTTTTGATATCTCTCATTTTATTTTTTTCTTTGATTTTTGTTATTTTGTGTGTTTTTGTTTGTAATAAGGTTTGTCTATGTCTATTTATCATCACGCTACATCCAGATAGAGAGCGTGGAATTATGCCTATTCCCATTACTTATAATCTGAAGTTCCATAACGTATTCTAAATTGAGTTTGCGTAACTGTTAATTCAACGGTATATGCCAAAATTATAATTGCGCAACTTTCTAGGTATTCACTTTGTAGGCACCTTCTTCGGACTTTTGTTTCACCACCGATAGGTATTTTCAAAACGGCCTTTAATAGAACAAACTTTTGTTGGTTGGGACGATATACCTCTACATAATAGCTACTCGTATAAGTATATAAATGAACTTCCTGTGTAAATAAAACCAACTGATACGATCTGTATCATGTCAAAAGATAATATTTACGCTGTAAGCGTGACAAAGTGTCATATACAATGTAATTACCTATCATAGTTGTATGTAATTATAGGTTTATATAATTAAATAACGCACGGAGAATATGTAGCTGCCGGTAGAGGTATTTTCAAACCAATGCGACTTAGGGGCCTTCTAGAAAACAGCGCATAGTGAAAAGTCGGCAATACAAAAGACGTTTGCAGGTGTGGTCGGTGGCGATTAGGACTTTATTCCCATAAAAAAATATGGCTAATGTAAAATGTTTTTAGCAGAAACGCTTAGTGTAACAACTATATATAACGCTATATATTAACCATGCCGTCGAACAACAATGATTCCAGCTCCTTACAAGCGTCTTAAAAATCTTGCCAGTTTTAATTATTCTACGGCTGTAATTTGCAGTAAATATTTAGAGGTAATTAATTAAATCTGTCGTTCATAACTTACATTTATTGTACAATAAGCAACACACACTAACATTGAATATTCTTTTATACCCATAGCGCAGTTATTATAAAATCTATTAACCCACAAAATCTATTGAAAATGATGAAAAACATTTCCGTGATTTTTCAGCTTTAATAAAAGCCCCTCTCGTCACGTGTAGAGAATAGATTGATGGCTGCCCGCGTACACCGATAAATCCTTTTATAAAAAAATACTCCACCGCAATATTGATTTCAGTTGAACATACGAATATAGTTTTTATCAAGGGCTTATATGCTCTGTGAGCCTTATCGTAGTTTTTTTCAGGCTTAAAAGGCCGTGTGAAATTCCTTCGGTTGATGTTTTAACCTGTGCAATATTCAATCGACTGTTAATTCGAAGTGAGGCATAGGCATATTATGTAAATAATTATCCTATTTTTATAGGGTCGACGCTTACCACTATGACTCCAGTATGTCAAAAGATATTAGTCGACATCACAGGAGACCGAAGAGCTGGCAGCTACCTCGGACAAAGAATTAGTCCAGCTATTCAAAGGGGAACGCTGCCAGTAACTTCTAAACCTTGCCTAAAGGGACTCCTTTTAATAATATATTATAGTTATTTTATAATATATTTTACTTATCAGGTAGAAGGAGACCTGGCCGACGACGCACGTCTTGGTTGAAAAACTTAAGACAATGGTTTGTCAAAACACCAAGTCAGAAGCGCGGCATCCAAAATTAAAATAGCCATGATGATCGCCAACCTTCGCAAGGAGATGGCACTATAAGAAGAAGAAGTTATTTTATTTTAAGGTTAGTTATTGTTTTTTGTAATTTATGTTAGCTGTAGGATTACGAAACAAAAGATATTGGAATTACATTACGTGAATCGTCGCGCTACGTCATAAGAATCTAACCATATGACCGGATTTTTTCGAACTCACTCATAATTGTGCTCACATCACACATTGAAGTAGAATTTATTAATGCTCAGCCGGAGTTCTAAGGCACTTACACAGTATGTGAATCATACGATTAGCCTAACGTCTTAATTAACGACATGGTTATATATGCTATTATTAGTCGGATTCATGTAAAAGTTGAAAAATA